ACCCGTGCATGTATATATATATAATACTATTATATACCCTTTTTTATACAATTTTTAAAGTATATACCCCATTTTTTAGAGTATATACACTATTTTTTAGGGTATATACACCATTTTTTGGGGGGGGTATATACCCTATTTTTTAAGGTATATCTTATATCACGTGACCTCTATTTTTAGGGTGCTTTTTGTGTAATCTAGACTGGACGGGGTCATATAGTGTATGCACCTTTTTTTAGGTACATACCCCAATTTTTAGGGTGCATACCCTAAATTTTAGGGTAGGGTAAGCTATAATGCATTTTAGCCAAACAAAATCACAACATTTAATCGAATTGCTTGAAGATTTTGTTGAAGATGATGCTGACAAGCAATTTGAATCGGATAATTCGCAAGAAATTGATAGTCTGGATGATGAAAAAGAAAATAGCGATCCTATGATTCCCTATATACAAAACCCAAAAATACACCATGGTAGAGGTCACCCCAAAGGTACCAAATGTTTAAAATCGGCACATGAAGTATCAAAACCTACGGCAAATCAACGTCGATGCAAAAAGTGTGGTGGTTTGGGCCATTACCAGAAGAATTGCAAGGTACTTAATTTTGTTGATATAAAATGTTGATCTAATTATGTGATTGAAAGCTAATGAAATATTATTTGTATAGGTTTAAAGTTGTTATCAATAGTGAATACACTGTATAGCCTTATTTTATTCATTTACTACTGTAGCATATGTGCTTTATTTGATATTTTGACAAATTATATGTAGTGTTTTAGTTTCATTTAGAGTATCCGACTTTATATACGTAGTAAATGCCCATTATATAGTGATTATGTTATTGTGTTAATTGTTATACTTTAATTGGCTTGAAATTGTTAGTTGCATTAAGTAAATTAAAGAACGTATGTATGTACGATTAGTAATTTTAAGGAATTGCGCCAGTATTGTAACTACCATATTGAGGCAGTGTGTATATTGATATTAATACGTATTAGCGATGTAAATTTTACTAGATTCGACAATAGTATTATAGTTAGTTAGTTGTAACAGTATAGCATAAATCATAAGACAAATAAATTGTTATTGCAGGAGAAAATTCCCCTGCACTATTAATATAATAGTTAACCCAACAAGGGGAACAGTCAATGTTATACAACTAATCTTTCACCTGGTGTGAACTATATAAAAAAATCATTTTACAATATCAGATCATTCCGCTAGTGCATGTTATGATTATATTCAACACCATTTTATTATAATAAAAATGATGTTGGATTATAATCATAACATGTACTAGCTGATCTGGTATTGTAAATTGATTTTTTTATATAGTTCACACCGGATGAAAGATCAGTTGTATAACATTGACGGTTCCTCCTATTAGTTAACCCAAACTCAAATTAGGTTCTATTCGAGTTTGGTTTACATCACTAGTTAGCATAGCGTATACCTCTGATATAATAGAGTAGGTTTTAGAATGTGTATCTTTTGCATTGAAAAGGCGAAGCATCTATTTTCTCATTTATTGTAAAGTATAATAGTTACGATTTTCTTATTAGCTTACTACTTCTAGCGGTTATTACTACATTGTGCATGTATTATGCGTTGCGTCACTCTTCCAAACCAGCCATTACACTATACCTTTAACTTGATCTTTTGAGTAACGTTACCAATATAATTACTATATATTAATGTAATACAAACTGCTGATCTTATGTAATACAAACTGCCGATCCTATGTAATACAAACTGCTGATCTTATATAATACAAACTGCCGATCTTATGTAATACAAACTGCCGATCTATATATTATTACTAGTCACGTGACTTATGGGGACTAGCAATAGCAATAAATTATAAAATCCTATTAATTTTATACTTATAATTCGGAATCCAAAAAATTTTTATAAAACATTCATAAGAACTTTTCAGATCCCGAATACAAAAATATTGTCTGAGTAGCTTGTATATCACGTTACTGACAATTTTCTTTATTGAATGCCTGATTTAAAAACTCTGCGCCACAAACCAGCACACATCATTCGCTTTAGATATTAATATATCGGAACAAAATGCATTATGTAATAATTATGCATGATGCTCCCGTTATCAGCCTATCATAACTACCATTTTGGGACAAAATTTCCTAAATCATTAAACTAAAACACTAAAACGCTACGTAAAACACAATCAAAAAATTTATAGAAATAATTTCCTTTTATAGAAATAATTTTTAATGTCTATAACATTATAATTTACAGGCTTCGTCTAACAAATACGTATAATCTAAACATACAGTCAACTCTGTCTATTCCGACCTGTCCGTTCTTATATATAAAATTGGTTAAAAAGTTCGGTTCTCAAAGAGTTATTATTAGCTAATCCGAACTCTATAATAAAATTTGCAAATGTTCTAGAGGTTTTCGTTCAGATTAGAGAGAATTTAATAGTGTTCGGATTAGAGAGGTTCGGATTAGAAAAAGTCAACTGTACTATCAATCTTGAGAACAAACTCGCTTACTGGAGATCTGACTACAAAAAAAAAAGTTATTTCTTTTGTTTTAGAGAATCCTATATAATATAAGTAACAACTGAATTAAAACAAACGCTCTATAGCAAACCCTCATGATTATTCCTCGGTTTTCGTGATTATTTTGATAGTATATAGAGCGAAAGGTGTAATTTCTGAATATGTATTCGGTTCCCCTGGACAATTCGTTTAAAGTCAGATGACAGTAATTGACCAATCAGATTTAAATTTACTATTACCCGATCATTACTCGGTTAACCGGTTAACCACGGTAACTCGGGTAATGCCCGATCCGGGTATAATCTCTAAACTTGAAGCGATAATAGTGATTGGTTAATCTTTCATTACCAATTATTAATAATTAAAAATTGACCAATCACCTTCTAAATAGACCAAAGCTCATTATAAATTTTTGTGGTCAAACATTATACCTAAATAGAAATTAAATAAATGAAATTGTATAACTGATCGCAAGTTTTACCAAACTTTCTCATTACATGCGTTCTGCGTTAAAATTAAGAATGTCAACACATTCTGACTTCCACTTCAAATTTCTCGATGGAATCCGTGGGGCAGCTGCCTTATCGGTTATATATTCACACTCACAAACATTATATAAGCAAGTCTTACCATTTTCGACATTTACAATGATAGGATTTGGTGCAGTGCATTGTTTTTTTGTACTTTCATCTTTCTTACTTACTTTTCGAGCCTTACTGGATTGGGAACAACATTGTGAGAACTTAATTGAACAAACTTTTGTGGCAAAGGGAATGTTATATGACAAAATATTGGATAACGAAGGTAGATTAATTGAATAAGTTTATTTTTAACGTCGATGAATTCTATGAATATTATTTCTCTTTTTTGATCTTTAAATTTCCTATTAAAGAACTAAATACAGTCACCTACAATAAAAAAGAAAAATCTCTATTCAAATTCCTAGACAATTCCGCAGTAAAGTTCTGGTTAAAATACTTTTTTCGCCGATTTATGCGAGTATACCCACCATATGTGATTGTTTTGTTAAGCATCGTGTATATTGATCCAATAGGTAAAGCCTATTACCATGCTATAAATAAATCAAATTTATTACAACATATGAGTTTTCAATCAGCCGAGTTTATTTTTTGGAGCATTCCTCCGGAAATGATGGTATACACAACTTTTTTCACAATTATATGTAATAATTTTAGTTAATAATAATATCATTGAAATCCTATATATTTTCTATTATAGTATTATCTATTCATACCAATTATTGTTACTGGTTATGTTGGAATGACTCGCATAGGAGTCTTTTTATCAAACCAATTATTTTGCAGACCAAGTGTTGGAGCATGGGCAAGTCGAATACTTGGCAACATAATAATCTTGGGCATACGAACATTAATAGCATTATATCATGATCCAAAAAAATCTTTACAACTTTCAGGTTCAGCTCATTACTTTTTAACTGGATCTATATGTGCAATATGGTATAGAGAAATTATTAGACTTGGTTTATTACCATTGAGTTCAGAAGAAGAAATGGCGTTAGTAAAGAGGACAAATCATATTCCTAATGAAAGCTCAGGAGATGTATATAGTTATATTATTAATAATTTACCGAGTCGTCATTGGATTGTTCGACGCTTCTTCGATTGGACATGCTATTTTGTTTTTTTCATAATTCTTTGCACAATGCCCCATTTATCCTCAAAAGTTTTTGGTATGCCTAAAAATTTAACATTGGAATTAATTACTGGAGGATCTTTGTATTCTGCCCTGATCCTTGCAGGCCTTTTATCCCGTAATGGCTCGTTCGTTAATGCATTTTCGTGGAATTTACTTTGCTTTTCGGGAAAAATTTCATTTAGTATATACTTACTACATCCAATTGGATTTACAATTGTGAATGAATTTGCGACAAGTATAGGAGTACAAGGGGCGGCAAAGGAGATAGAAGCGGAAGAGAAAGTTAATGATATTTTAGACGCTGTAATGTTGACATTTGTGGTGACGATTATTTTGTCATGGTGTTTTCATAAAGTTGTTGAAAGGCCAATTATGAATTTTACAAATTACATTTCCAAGACAAAACTTGGGCATAAAAAAAATCATAAACAGTCTCATTTATATACCATAAAAAGTAACTAGTTTTTTTGTTTTTGTCAATATATATATACACTTTAGAAATGTCATAGATTTTATTATGTTTTGTAATATGATTGATTATTCACCTTTTTTAATTTGTGTAATTTAATAAAAAATTATATGCGTGAAATTCTCGGAATTTTGCTGAAAGATGTTTCCAATTTGAATCATTTTAACTTACTAATTCCGATATAATGAATTTGCCACATACGTAAATGAGTTTTTCCATTATTTTTGATTTTTAAGATCATAAAATTTCATAAATATTTGGATGATGAGTTTGGGAAATCATTTCACAATGCCAAAATAGTTTTGTTTAATTATTCGTGCAAAATTTACGCATATCAGTAATAATTTGTAAACATGCAATTGAGTGAATTTTTAAACTATATAGATTACAAGCAATGCAAATAAAAACATATATATGTCTTTAGTAAGATTCGAAAAGGCGTACGCAGAAATCTGCAATATTTCTTTAAAAAAATCGCCATTTAAAAATATCGATTCCAATGATTCCTCAGTATATACTAATTTTCTAGTATAAAATCCATTAGTATATTAGATCATGAGTTAGTTGACTAAGCAAAAATTTTTTAATTTTCTTAATTTATTTTCTTAAAATTCTACAAACTTTGGAAGTATCTTAACAAGGTCCTGTTCGTTTTGATACTTATATTTTCAAACTCTACATTCTAGTAGAATTCGAAAATGACCCAAACGTCGCAACTAACCGCCGATGTTGATCTATTCGATATATAATTATCCAATCACGGGCTTATATTTATTGCCCTTTGCAGATCACAATGTCATGTGAAAATCGGAGATTCTATAGATTTACCGATTACAAAGAAATATAAACGTAACTGGTCGAAAATATAAAGTAATAGAAAATCTAAAATCTCGGAAATTTTCCCGATCATCATTACAAAAATCATGTGGCCACATCTTTTCGCAAAACGCTATAAGGATCGAGTTTCTGCATAAGATTATTTTCAAGATCGGTATTAGAGTTGGTCACCGAAACCTTTTTTGCCAAATCCGAAAGTTTCGGGTTTCAGATTATAGTTTCCGAAACCTCATCCGAAACTCGAAACCTCACCCGAAACCCGAAACCCCGAAACCTGATATTCCTTCCGAAATCTTGAAACTCCAAAGCTTTATGATTGAAGAAATTTAGAATGCTCATCGATTCGAAAAATTGTCAAACGTTTAGGTGTTAGCAAATCTTCTATAAGTCGGGTTTCCGGCTTTCAAAGATATGGATGTATTGAAAAGCTTTAGCAACACTTTATCGATTTTTTAGAATCTTACATTTAAGCCAGTTGACGAATTCTTGATCATATCTCTAACTTTTTTTAATATTAGCACCTATTCATGTGGCATGTTTATTATAAAAGTCTATTTTATATCTGGTGCCTTTTTTATAT